TACTTACTGGGTTCTCAAGCAACCAGGATGTCTTCAGCTGATGCTATCTTGCCTTTGAGCACCACAGAATCACAGACCATTGAGGCCTCAGCTGTGATTGGAGTTATGTTTTCACATACCATAGCAGGCTCTTGAGCAAGGCAACACTGGGCCTTAGACAGATACAGTTATACTTTAATTATGAAATGATTTTTCTCCAAAATTTACATAGAAATGCTTCTGACACTAGGTGACAGGCAGCCATTGTATAATCCAAGTCCCATTTTAAGGTGGCTACTGGCAAAAGGAGGATCATTGACTTGAGGTGAGTGCAAAGGCCAGTGCCCTGGGCTTGGAGGAGCCTGGGCCAGGGCAGGCCTCTGGAGCAGAGAGGGAACCAGAGAAAGGCCAGCCTGGATCTGGTCAGTGACTGGGCAGACCCTGTGGGAAGGCCTTGGCGTGTGTGTATGGAGAGAAGCTGGGGGCTGGAAGCACTCTGAGCATTGCCCACGAAGAACAAGCTTCTGGGTGGGGAGAGGGTGCCAGAATCCTGCTACTTTGGATATTTGCAAGGAGCGGGCAGGAGTTGCCTGTTGGATCCTGACATGTACATCATTTGCATCTCAACTACTTTTTGTACCTGGTACATGGATTTTTGCTTGGAAAATGGCATTGTGTGTGAATCTCCTTAGCTACTTTGAAATCCCTGATGTTCATTTTTGGTCTGTCACGGGAGTCCTGTGCCCATAGGAAGCTGCCTAGATTGGTGGCCCCAAGGTGCTGTGTTCAGAGGGAGATTGAGGAAGACCTGTTTCTATCTGGGGGTGGGGTGCAAGGTGTGACAGGTAACTTGTCAACTTGACTTGAGAGATGCCTAGATTAGAAAACCACACTCCTGGGTGATTCCTGTGTGGTTATGGGGGAGTGACCTTGGGGACAGTATCTGGTCACTGAACTCTTTCTCCGTGGTTCCCTTTCCTTATGCTCAGCTTCCTGGCTGCCATGAAGTGAGCAGCTTTGCTCCACCACGCCCTTCTGCCATGATGTTCCTTCTTTGGAGCCTGCTGGCCATGGACAAAAATCTCTGAAGTAATGAGCCAAAAATAAACTTCTCCTCCTTTAACTTATGGGTGTCAGGTGTTCTGTTGCAGCAACAGGAAAACTAGTATGTACAGGCTTCAAAGAGGAAGTGATTCAGGAGTCCAGGTGGAAAGTGTTAGCGGAGGTCTACCAGGTGGACAAGAGCCATGCATGTTAGGCAGACCTGACATCTTGACCAGGAAAATGGCTGTGTGGACACACTTGGAGTAGGTAGGGTGTGGTCTGTGACTGGCAGCCAGAGTCAGGCCGAAAGGCTGAAAGACAAGATGGGCAGGATGGACAGATGGGCCCATGGTGACTGCCTCCTAGCAGCACCAGCTTTGTGAGTTCCACCCTATCTGTGTAGAGGACTGCTGGTTAATAGCTTTAGCTCAGTGTATTCCTTTCTCCTGGAGACTTGTTTTGGCTGAAGTGACCAGAACTTCCCTTCTTTGTATCCCAGAAGAGGCTAAGATTTTGCAGGTCAGGACCCAGGAGCATGACATTTTCATCCTCTCCCAATCCCTTGCACCCCAAAATGCTCTATCTGGAGCATTCCTGTAACAGCCTTCTCATGTGACTCCTACCAACTCATCCTCTCTCTTTTGTGGATTCTGCTCCCTTACATCCTGACTTTGCCCAGGACAGTGTGGTCTCTGGTTCACTGGGGATATGCTGGAGGAGGCAGGTGTCAGCTTGGCACAGGCAGATCTGCTGGGGCATGCAGTGGCTGGCATACAGGGCTGGGACACCCAAGATGTTTGAGGGAGGAGTATTAAATGGAACGGGTCCTCTAGGGTTCCTCCCAGTGTTGCAGTCCCGTGGGACTGGGGTCTAAACAATCTGGGAAATCCACTGTCCTCTGAGCTTTGCTTTCCTCTTAAAAGTGGGTCCCATCAACCCATTTATTTCACAAGTACTTGAGGATCTCTTCTAGGTGCTGAAGGGCACTATGAGTTAGTGTCAACAATTCCATGCTTTCCTGGAGCCCAGAGGGCAGTGAGGCTCAGAGTCATAACACCCAGTGCGAGTGCAAGATGAGGGGTGTGCTGGGATCCAGGATCATGGAGCTATGAGGACAGAGAACAGGGACTGAGCTAAGGGAGGTTGAGGAAAGCTGCGGTCTGAGGAAGCAGCCATGTGGAGGATGAGAATGGGTAACACCCATGACGGCCTGAGTATCATAGCTTGGTGGGAACAGACCACAGGGGACACCTTGAGATCCTGCTCTAGTGCCTCTGAAGGTTACTGAAGGTGACTGAACCAAGGTTGAAAGGAATTGCCCAACAAGGTGGGAGCATCTGTGGAGGAGTGGGCTTCAGTCACCTGGGCTTGATGCCTTGGGTCCTATTTCCAATGGGTCATCCTCCCTCTCTGAGCTGTTTCCATCTGTAAAGCACCCAGCAGGTGCTCCTGCTGTAGTCTTCCTGTCCAGGCTGACTGCTGGCTGGGCTGCAGCCAGTTGCCTCTAATCTCCTTGTCATCCTTTACCCAGAGGACCATGGCAGAACTGTGGGGAGAGAGGGGAAGCAGCTTGGGAGCCTCTGAGCTCCTCCCTGCCTAGCCAGCCCCATGTCCACCATGAGTTTTTTCATGGGAAAGTGGGAGCACCTGTAGTTTAAGCATGGCTTGTCCTGTGCTTGTGCCCTGGGCACTCACAGCCCTTCCTTGGGAGAGTTCCCAGGAGCAAGTTGAAGTGTTCAGGACCCCAGAAGGTGCTGTAGAGGCCACAGCCCCTTGACTGAGCCTGGAAAGATAGGTGGCATCTGCAGGGGGTAGCCCACAAGTAGGATTATGGCACATGTGTGGGATGAGGATATAAAGTGAGGTCAGCAGAAGAAGGATGATGAACAGGAAGACACCAGGCCTGGGAAGTCCTCAGGGGCCAGTCACTGGGGGTCTTTCTGTGGCGGTGGGGCCAGGCTGGGTGTAGGAGGGGTGTCTAGTCACTGTGGGAAGTGACAGGAAGGGAAGAGAGATGGGGGTGAGAGGGGTGGCCTGTATGTGGGGAGGACAGCAGGGAAGGCATGTGTAGGGCTGCTGGACCCTACCTTTCCCAACAGGTCTGAGGGCTAGCATCTTCCCAAGATGGAGACTCAGGTTGGGGAGGGGGAGTTGGATTGCTTGTTTTGGTGTCTATTAACCCCTCAGGTTCCCATGAGGTTGACCAGAGAGGTAAAGAGAAAGGGGCCACAATGGCAAAGTGAGGACTCTGGAAGATAGTGCAGAGAGGGCAGGGAGCACATGGCAGCCAATGGTACCAAATGCAGGCTACACCCACCATGGGACACTAGTGGCTGCCTTATCTGCCCACAGGATCCAGACGTGCTTTGTGAAGATGCCCATCCTACTTGCCAGTTCAGCTTTTCAGCTCCAACAGGGACGTCCCCCTGAAGATAGGCTGGTACTAGAGGGGAATGGCATATGGTCAAGGCCACACAGGACTGTGGGACATGCTGGGCCATCCAGCAGAGCTCTCACTTCTGGACTACAGAATGACTACAGGAGGTATGACTCAGGGCACTGGTGAGAACTGGGTGTTGGCTGGTCATGGAGGGAACCCATGATGGACAGAGCAGGAAAAAAAATCCCCCTGCAGGTTGGGGAGCTCAAGGAGAACTGACAGGCTGGTCTGCCTGCCCTCTGCAGTTTCCCCCAACCCTTACTGGCAGCCCTGCACGGCAGCTGGATGCCTGAGGGTGATGATGGTATGGCTGCCTAGAGCCTCAGATCCAAATGCTGCCAAAGGCAACTCCACCGCAGGCACTCACTCCCCTTTCCCTCCCCCACCCCTGCTCTGCACTGGCGGGCCTCCCTTTGGAAATGTCATCCTCACTCTGCTCTCTGCCTCATTACTCAACTCTCTGCTCTGGCCCCCACCCTTCCAGATCTCCCCCAAACCCTGTCCCAGCCTTTGACTGGTGCAGATGCTTCAGCCAGTACCTGAGCTCACAGTCTGAGCTGGGCCCCCTGGGCTGTTTTTTCTCAAGAGTGAGGATTTGCAATACACGGAGGAAGCCAGAGGGAGTCCAGGACTACAGTCAGCTGGGCAAAGACATTCACCTTGTGTATCAGTCAGTGCTTAGCAGAGAAACATTTAATGCAAGATATACAAATATATAATAATTTACAAGATTAGCTTACAATGGCTGCCCGCAGAATCAGGTGTGGGAAAGTACAAAAGGGCTGTCTGTGGGATGAGATCAGAAGGATCCAGCCAAAGCCCTTGAGCTCATTGTAGTGTCCTGTGAGAGTCCATATCAGGAGGCCAAAGGGTCTTCGATGTCCAAGGTGAAGGTAAAGACTGGAGCTCCTCCAAAGAAACAGAAGCCAAACTTCCTTTTTGTTTCCCTTTTCTTCCATTCAGGTGACAAGCCTGGTTAGTGTCACTCACACCCAGGGTGGGTCTTCTGTCTTCAGTAAATCCCTTCAGCCACACCCAGAACTATGCTGATCCAAATGTTTCTTACTCAAATTGATACCAGCAGAGCACTCAGGGTGAGGGATGAGGATCACTGCAAGTTTGAGGCCAGTCTGGGCTAGAGTACATAGTAGGTTCAAGGCCAGCCTGAACTACATAGTGAGACCCTGTCTCAAAAACAAACAAAAGAACAACAACAACAAAAGACACAATCAGTTAACTATCATACCCTGGGCTTTATGATTTATGTCTTTTTTTATAGTACTGAAGATTGATCCCAGGACCTCTACCCTTTACACTGAGCTATACCCCCAACATTTTTTTTTTCGTATTGGGGATTGGACTCGGGTCCTTGAGCTTGCAAGGCAGGCAGCGGAACCACTGAGCTAAATCCCCAGCACCCCCTAACATTTTTTTGAGACAGGGTCTCACTGTAGTTTGGGCTGGCCTTGAACTCACTTATGTAGGCCAGGCTGGCCTCAAACTTGCAGCAATTCTCCTCCCTCAGCCTCTTGAGTGCTGGGATTATAGGTGTGTGCCACCAAGCCTGGCTAAACTTTTTTTTTTTTAGTTTGAGATAGGATTTTGCTATGTTGCCAAGCTGCACAGGCTAGGCTCAAACTTCTGATCCTCCTGCCTCAGTCTCCCAGAGTGCTGTGATTATAGTCATGAGCTACCACACTTGGCTGATTTATTAGTTCTTTAGCCATGTCAGTTATGGAGTCCAAAGGGAAGGAGAAAAAGGTGAGAAAAATAGCAGCTCAGGCTTCAAGCTATGAGTTCTTCTCCATTCTCTGCTGGCCCCCTGGCTCACTGGATGTGGTTTTCTAGAGGATGCTGTATATATGTGGGGGGCTCCTCTGTTTCCGTGGGCAGCTACTCAGTGTTGAAGCCCTAGGTCTCTGCCTGGCCACTTATACCATTTATTCCCTAGGTTTAGTCTGGGCTGTGGTTTGGGCCACATCTCTTTCAGAGGTGCCAGCTTGGCTGCAGACTTCTTTTTTTTTTTCTTGAGATAGGATCTCAATATGTAGTACAGGCTGGCCTTGAGCTCACTAGGTAGCCCAGGCTGGCCTCAAACTCACAGTGATCCTCCTACCTCAGTCTCCTGAGTACTGGGATCACAGGTGTGCGCCACCACACCTGGCTCTGTTTTTGTTGTTTTGAGACAGAGTCTCATTATGTAGTTCAGGCTGGCTTTGAACTCACTATGCAGCCCAGGCTGGTCCTGAACTCACCACGATCCTCCTGCCTCAGCCTCCAGAGTACCTAGCTGGTGATGGACTTCTTATCAGAGCCAGATTCTGGAGTTTAGGAGGCTTCTGTGTCCTGAGAATTCTGCCCCTTATTGGTGGCTATGGAGGACAGACTCTGTGCCTTGGGCTGCACCTAGCAGTGGCTGCAGATCTCATGGTGGTGCAAGTGCTGGTTGACATGGGGCTGCAGTAGATGCGGTCCTTGCACACCCTGGTCAGGTGCTTAGAAGTTGACATGGTGCTCCTTTTCATGATGTTGTGGTGGTCATAGGGCATGAAGTCACAGTCCATGATGTAAAAGATGGAAAAGCTCGTGCCCAGGCTCAAATCTCAGACACTGTAGGGGAAGTGCTGCATCATGTTGGGAGTACGCCACAGACCCACAGAAGGTATTGCTCAGTGTCAGTCAACTGCTGTTGTCCTGCAGGGCATGTTTGGAGAAGCTAAAATCAGACATTTGATGTTTAAATTCTTGTTGAGCAAAATGTTTTTGCACTTGAGGTCTCAATGGACAACTGTGAGGTCATGGCATTAGTACTTGATGCTGAGGAGAGCAGGTAGAACTTCTTTTGAGAGTCATTTTTTGGTAGGGCTCCCTAGATTGAGGAGGTTCCCCTCAACCCCAAGCTCCATAACAACATAGATCTTGCCCAGGGATGTCTCAAAGATCTCTTAGGTGTTGACAATGGAAGGGTGGTTTAACCTTGTCTGAAGCTCAACTTCCCGTCAAAGGAATTTCTGTATGAATTTTGTAGGGGCTTTCTTGAGGTTGATGATTTTGACTGCCACATTACGTTCTAGGGATTCAGAACAAGCAAATTTGTCCCCATGATGTATCCTTGTCAGCAGCAGCATCCATAGTGTTAGGACTTAAGCCACCAGCAACCTCAATTACAAATGGACAGAGTCCTCTGGGTGGCTGGGCCTGACTGATGTGCCTGCCTCTTAAGATGAAGGAACATTCAGCAATGTCTTCCAGGTGACTTCAGTGGGTGAAGTCACAAAGGTGCAGCACCCCAGAGGAAGGAGACTCTGGCTGGAGCCACTTGGTCTTGGAACCCTGAAAGCTCCGTCAGCAGGCTGGAGCAACTGAAAGTCAGCAGAGAGGCCTTGTGCTTTGGCTGGGATCTGAGGCAGGTGGGGGGGGGCACAGCAGACATGAAGGCCTGTCGCTATTCTCACAGCTGGAGTTAGGAATGCATGTAGAGTGGTGTGTTGATGGTTGCAAACCAGGGAATCCCAGGGAATCCAGGACAGGTGGCCCTACCAGTTAGGGTCCCAGCAGGAAACAGAAGGCACAGTGGATTTAGGATAATTTGAGAAGGGCTTAATACATGGGCAATTTACAAAGGTGAGAGCAGAATAGGGAATCCCAAGGATAGTCTAGGGACGGTAAGGTAGAAACAGACCCCTGACTTGCTTGGAAGAGGGGGGAAATGGGAGGAGCAGTAGAGAGGACCACCAGGAGAGAGGTGGTAACCTTGGATGGAAGGATGAAGCCAGGTTACAGGAACCCCACCAGCCAGTGCCAGGGAAGATGTTGTCCCTGACCTCTTTTCTCTTCCTATAGCTCTTGCCACTGTCCAAACAGGCAGCCTGCAGAGTCCTCAAGCAGGGTTGAGAAGGGAATAGATAGGTGGGTCAGAGGGGCAGAGACTCCTGGTGCAGCCATCGCTGCAGCGTGGGAAGCCAGGACGATGCCCTCTTGTCCCATGGTTAGGCTGGGCCTTTTTCCTCCGTGTACTTTTCTCTCCCCATCTCAACCTTTGCTGGCCTGCTTGTCTTACTGTGGGTCTGTAGGGGGACAACTGGCAGGAATTCTGCTCCTGGCTCTGAGTTCCCTCCTAGGGATCTGCCCAACCTGTAGGCCCAGGTTCACCTTCAGGGCAAACTGGGGCTGTGGGCAGAAGGCTGGGCCAGATTCCACGCTGAGAACTGGCAGCTGTTCCTGGGAATGCTCTGTAAGAACAGCACAAGCAGCCAGGACAGCACTGGACAGGGACCTTTTTTATCCCGCAGGCCACTGGGTCCATGTTTGATGACAAGTCTTTTGTCCAGCACCTGCTCAGGGGAGAGTAGGAGCCCCTGAAGGTCTGGCTTAAATTTGGGCTTAATCTTGGCATATCTGTTTAGAGAGTGTGAACGGCCCTCTTTCACCCTGGGGACTACCCTCCCTTCCCTTATGACCCCAAGTGTTACACACTGAAATCCTAAAACTAAGGAGGATACTCTGAGTGAGTTAGAGTGATGGGGGTGGGTCAAGCAGGGCTCATTTTCACCTTCTTCCCAGCCCTGACCACCCACCATCTTGCCCATGTGCATGGCTGGTGGGCTTCTGGACAGCTTGCTTCTCTCTGCTGCTGAGCACGCACCATCGCCATCTATGTCTCTCCTCCCTGGTCATCCGGTCATGATGAAGGGTGTGAGCTCAGCACTTAGAGCTTTGTTCCCAGAGAGCTTAGCCTCATTTCTGCCCAAGGCTTTCCTCCATGCAGATGTGGGCTCCCCTCTTCCCCCAGTGCGCAGGCAGATCCTTCTTCCAGAGGAAGCCAGCTGCTCCTAAGAAATCTTCCCTTTACTCCCTGTATGACACTCCTTTAGGTCATTTCCTCATCTGTTGAAACAATTTCAGATTTGTGTGTCTGTAAAGCCACACCTGCCTTTTCCTAACAGGGTGGACCCTCCTTCCCCATCCTGAGAACATTGGGCCTTCCAGCTTGTCCTCGACAGCGACCCGCGCCCCCCCCCCTCCATTCCCACGGGGATTGAACTCAGGGTCTTGTGCTTTCGAGGCAGGCACGGTACCACTGAGCTAAATCCCCACCCCCCTTTTTGAGTCAGGGTCTCGTTATGTAGTTCAGGCTGGGCTTGAACTCACTATGGAGTTGAGACTGGCCTCCAACTCGAAGTGATCCTCCTGCCTCAGCCTCCAGAGTGCTGGGAGTGCTGGCACTACAGGAGTGCACCACTCCTCCAGGCTGAGGTTCGGTCTTTAAAAGACCCCCGTGTTGGGCATAGTGGCGCACGCCGGTGATTGCAGCACTAGGTAGGCTGAGGCAGGAGGATCGCGGCAAGTTCGAGGCCAGCCTCGGCTACATAGTGAGTTGAGTTCAAGATCATCTTGAAGTACATAGCGAGACCCTGTCTCAAAACGAAACAAAAAACACCTTTGAGCGTGGTCCCAGGAAGAGATCTGGAGTTCCAGGATCCCGCTTCACACCTCGGATTCCTGACTCCCTCACCCCCACTTCTCCCCGCCCCCGAAGTCCGTCCTGGTGGGCCCAAGCCCTCTGATGCTCCCCTAAGGCCCTCGCCTCACACTGCCGGACCCCAGGCTCTTCGGCGGGTCTGCTGCTCTGGCTCGGTCGCAGAGCCCCACCCCCTGCTCAACCAATGGCACGCGCCATTGTTTATCGTCCCGCCTTCCTCTTCTGGCCGCCCCTCAGGCCCCCCCTTGGCCTTTCCTACCTTAGGCCTCGCCCCTTTCGCACCCTGCCATTCAGACTCCACCCCCAGTTTAACAGATGGTCCCCACGCCGAGGGGAGCAGGCTGGCTCCGCCCTTGCTTCAGCGCTCATTGGTCTGCCATGGCGTCGCGGGCGGTGGGCGGGGCTGCGGGGGCCCAAGAAGGACGGCGGCCATCTTGCGCAGAGCCGGAGTCGGACTCTGAGGCTGCTAACAGTGCGCGGGAGCTCGTACTCCTGCTCTTCTACGGTTGATCCTCGCCGCGCCCCCGCGAGAGCCCTGGTCCACCGCCTCCCTGCGCCTGGCCTCAGCCCGGCCCGGTCAGGCCTCGCCACGGGGTCACGCGCGGCCGCCCCGAGGACGATGAACGGAGGATAAATGGTGCCTAAGGCAGACAGCGGTGTCTTCTTGCTGCTCTTTCTGCTCGTGCTCACCGTCACCGAGCCGCTGCGGCCAGGTGCGCGGCGCTGCTCGGTGGGGCGTTGTGGGGGGCGCGGGCGCGGCCGGGGGCGGGGCCACCGGGCGGGGGCGGAGCCGCGGCTGCGAGTCAGGCCTGGGTCACCCCGGGACCTTCTTCCGCCAGGTGAGATCTCTACTGGGGCTGCGACCCCCGAAGGGGTGGATGAGGCCTGGCTTGGGGAATCATCGAACATCCCCTGACCGGGCGCGAGCAGGCGCGTACCTGGGCTCAGAGCCCCTCGCCCGTCGCGCCAGTTTGCCTTCGAGGGAGTAGCCTCTGGACTCACTTGCGGCGTCAGCTCTGTGTTCTCTGAGAGCCTCGGCCAGGAGCTGTGCCTCGGGCCCTCGTTCTTCGGGTCGGGTCTCGGGGAGGGAATGGTGTGTTTTGGGCCAGGAGCAGCTCGTGGAGACACCTGGATTCACAGGCGCCGCCTGACTGCGGCCTCGTGCCAGCCTTACGGCCCTGGACAACAGTGGCTGGGTGGCAACTTGTCGCTCTGTTAGGCTCAGTTCAGAGCCCGGCCCAGAGGAGGTACTAGAAGTCCCCAAAGCACCGTGTGCGGGGTGTAGACATCGCAGTGGTGATGTGATTAAATGTTTTTGAAACTTCCTTTGGAGATTGTGTGTATATGTCGGTGGTAAGGAATCAGAACCATAGCAACCAGAAGGCCCTTTTCTACCTATTTCGGCTAACCCTAAACTGCACCGAGAACATGTAACAAAGTTAGGGCTGTTTCATCCATCAGTTGCAGGCAACTATACTTTTAGGGTCTGCCAAAGTTTTTATAATCAGAAAAAAAATGAACTGAGGTGAAAGAAAATGTATGAATGTTAATATGGTCATTTTAAGCCAATGCAATGGGACGTATGACTTTTAATATTTTATGACGAATGAAGCTTCCTATGAAAGTAGAAGCATGGGCCGGGGTTTAGCTCAGTGATGCCACCGCGTGCCCTGCAAGTGCAAGGACCCGAGTTCGATCCCCGGTACCAAAAAAAAAAAAAAGAAAGTGGAAGTGCCCAGGACTATCTTTGAGTGACATCAAGGCTGGGTGTGGCAGCACAGAGGTATTCACCCATCTAGGGTGCCCTAGTCAGGCTCCTGCCTTGGACATTCTGCCCGTCTCTGCTTTGTGCCTTTGCCATCTGATTGCTCCCTAATGTCTACCTGGGAGGTCTAGGACCGGCAACCACATTGAACTTGGACAGACTCTGATGGTTCCCTGGGCTCCCTGAGTGTAGCTGGTTGCTTGAAGCTTATGACTTCTCTATGCAGCACGGGACTAGTTGTGGAGTGGCTTTGGTTGGAGCAGAAAAAGGGTCACCTGTGAAGAGGATATCATATAGGCTCTTGGGCATCAGAGTCAATGGGTTTTTTGGTTTTTATGGATCAAATCCATTGTGAACATGCATGTACCTGTAGACAGATGAAATGTCATCCTTTTCTAGTTCCTGGGTCTCAGTTTTGCAGATGAGGTCGCTGGGCTTAGCCACACATCATGCCTGTCTTCACAGAGATCACTGATTTCCTAAATACTTTTTCCTTGCCAGTGTGTTTGCGTATCTTGGCAGCTGGCTAGAACAGTTCAGAAAGTATATGCCAGTGCTCCTGCTGGTTGCCCATCACTAGGGATATTCAGGTGTACAGAACACACCCATCCTAGTCAAGAGTGTCAGATGTGGAAGCAGAAGTTGGGTTAGTCAGAACATTTCTATATGTTGAGTACTCCTGAGTGTGGGAGCCCAGAGGCAGGCAGCAGAGGTGGCCATGTGTACCTGTGAAGCAGGGGAGGGCCTCACAGACCTCATGCTTTGGTCTGAGTTGGAGTGGGGGTGGCTCCGGAAAAAGGAATAGAGTTATTCTTTTAATTCCATGGCTCTGCAGATCAGAACTTAGCAGCATCCCTATTGGTGTCTTGAGTTCTCCCACAAAATCTAGAGGGCTCCCTTTAGCTCCCTGACTTTGGTCGGCCACCAAAGGTACATCTCACTCCGGGTCAGTTTAACTTGTGTGCTGCTCTGTGTGTGTTTGCGTACCTCACTCTGAGAGCATCCTGAGAGTTCCAGGAACAGGCATTTTTGGCTGTTGCTTGCCAGAGGTAGGGGCTTCTCTGGTCTTGGGCTGTATTCTTTCTGTTCAGGTCCTGACTTTGAACCATACTTGGATATGAGGAGGGCACCAGATAGAATCCAACTTTTGGGAGGGAGGCAGTTTTACCCCTGAGGATAGGGCCAAGCCACTTTGGTTCTTCTGATGCAGGGCAGGGCCTTTTACAGAATTAGGGGTGGGACAGCATGTGTATGTGACTTTTCATCCTTTTTTTTTTAAATGGTAATGGGGATTGAACCCTGGGGCTTCACACTGAGCTATAGCCCCAATGATTTCTATTTACTTATTTATTGAATATATGAGACAAGATTTCACTAAGTTGCTTAGGCTAGGCTTGAATTTGCAACCCTCTTGCTCAGCCTTCCAGAGTGCTGGGATTACAGGTGTGCATCACCATTCCCAGGTTCATCAGTTTCTTTTAAAGTGCACGTTTGATCTTTGTTGATTGAGGTTGTGTTTTATCTGTCAGGCACTTTTTTTTTTTTAAGTAGGAAAATTTATTGAGGAGTAGGAATGGCGAATAAGAATGAGACAGAATAGCTCTTGAGAGACAGGAGGGGCCCAGAATGGGTTGCCCAGGCTCTGCTTGGCTCTTTTCTTTCTCCTCTTCCTCTCTTCCTCTCTTTCTGTCTTTTGAGATAAAGTATTGCTGTGAAGTTCAGGCTGGCCTTGAACTCATTATGTAGTTTAGGCTGGTCTTGAACTTCCTCCCTCAGCCTCCTGAGAGCTAGGATTATAGGTTTATGCCACCATGCTTGGCATGAAGTTGTGTATAACTTACTTAAGGTGGTGCCTGGTGTATGACTTTTAGCCCCATTTTAGACAGAGGAACTTAAATACAGAGCATTCAAAAAGGTGAGTGGCTCAAGTAAGATTTTTATTCTAGGAACCTGGTTTGTCTTGTCATTATGAACCCTTAGTTGAGTCCCTGTCCATTTTAGCTGTGTATGTCCAGGCCTCAGGAGAACCTCACGTAGTGCTTTGAACTTTTTTTTTTGTCTTACTAGGGATTGAACCCAGGGAGTGCTGAGCTCCATTTCAAGGCCTTTTAAGAAAATTTTGAGACAGTCTTGCTAAATTGGCTTTGAGCTTGGGAATCTTCCTACCATCAGGCTTTTGAGCAGCTGGGATTGCAGGTGCTTTCTAGCCACCATGCTGAGCTGAACAGTTTCCTTAACCCCAGCTGTGGAGCTCCAGGCTGCCTGCCTCCCCTGAGGGTTCCTACAGGTCCTCCAGATTGGGTTCTGAATCTTTTCCATCTGAATGCTCAGGTCTGAGGGCCACAATCCCTCCCCCTTTATTTGGTTGGCCGTAGTGACTACTGATGATGTGTGTTATGGTCTCTCAGGGTGTGGGAGAAAGTATGTGCCTCTGCTGAACTAAATGCAGCTGTGATCTGAGCAAGCCTTTGGGAGTCGCTATGATACTATCTCATTGGGCCTTTTCCCACTTGTGCAGGAATGCAGCATCAGTTGTTTATTCTAAAATTTTTTCTGAGTTTTCAGACACAGCTCGCTCCTGGGTGATCTTACCACATGTACCTGAGAACACTTGCCTTCTGAGCAAGGCTGCAGTCCAAGGACCCTGATCTCCCCCTGCCCGTTGCTAGCTTGTGCTTGGCCATGCTTCCTGGGGTGGTAGCAGGATGGCTGCTGGCAAACCTAGTTGGGATTGCCAAGTGACTTACTTAAGATCACACAGCTAGTAAGTAGCATAGCTGGGGTTTAAGACCAGGAACCAGCTGGTTCCTAGTAAGAGTTCTTTTGTCTCTGGAATCCAGACTTTTCTTTTGTGTGGAGTAGCACAGGAATTAAATTGGAAAACTGTGGATATTTTCAGTGGAAAAAGCTGAAGCTCTGAAGTAGTTTGGAAAATTGAGGATGCACTGGCCTTGCTAAACGCCTCTTTTTTGTGTGTGAATTGGGCCACACTTGCTCTTCAACCTTCCTTGGGGTGTTCAGCGTGGATCTGCTTTTCAGCACCCTCTTCCACTTGCCTAGCCCTATCCTGGCTCTGCTCTGCCCCCACCATTCAGAGAGAAATGTCTCCTGAAGCACATTTGGTTTACAATCCTTCTATTTATTTTTTTAAGAACATGTTTGAGCTACGTAACAATTACATTCATCTTAGGGAATTACACATATACATATCACATCTAGGTCATTTTAACTCTAACCCCCTTTCATAGCTACCCTTCTGTCTGCACAGAGACAGGGACTTGCTGTATTCCACGCTGGCCTTGAACTCATAATCCTGCCTCAGTCTCGCAGAGTTCTGGGATTATAGGCATGTGCCACACTTCCAGCCACCTCATGTGTTTTGAGTGCATTCCTGTAAAGCCCACTGTCTCACAACAACACGTTGTAGAATTTGTCCTGCTAGACAGATTTGACTTTTAAGTTAATAATTTCATTTTTTTTTTTGGTACCGGGGATTGAACTCAGGACCTTGCACTTGCAAGGCAGGCAGTGGAACCACTGAGCTAAATCCCCGGCCCAATAATTTCATTCTTATTGGTTGGAAAGTGGTGTAACATGTTTTTTAACTTCACTAGCTAGTGAATTGTCTTTTATTAAAAAAAAAAAAAAAACAACCAAAAACTTGCATTTGGAAATACTCTCAAACTTATAGAAGAGTGGCAAGAATAAAATTTGTGCAAAAACACTTGCATATCCTTAACTTAGACTGCTGTTGTTAGCATTTGCCATGTGTTTGCCTTTATGTGTGTGCATAGAAGGAGTGATCAAAATATACAATGAATGTTTAAATTTAAAAAAGTTTAGCTGGGCGTTATGGTGGATGCCTGTAATCCCAGCACTTGGGAGGCTGAGGGTTTTGGACTGGGGGACAGGGGGATTGCTGTGAGCTTGAGACCAGTCTGAACTATATGGTGAGACCCTGTCTCAAAAACAAACAACCACGCTGGGGATTTAGCTCAGTGATTCTGGCACCTGCCTAGCAAGTGCAAGGTCCCGAGTTTGATCCCCAGTACCAAAAACAACAACAGCAACAACAAAAATAACCCTCCCCCAAAAAAAGTTTATTTCAGTAAAAGACATTGCCATTAATCCCTCTCAAAATACTCCTTTCCTCTTTTCTTTGAATGCATGTACCCCATTGTCCTTGCCACTTTCTTTTTTCTTTCTTTTGGTAGGAATGGAGGTGGGTCTTATTATAAAAGAAATAACTCTTAGGAAACTTAGGAAAGGGAATAGTCTGCACTGGAAGGGAAGACATTAGGATAAAAAATTACAAGTGTTATAACTCTGGCTCTGTCCCCAACTCCAAGAGCAGAGTGGAAGGAGACAGCTGAAGCAAACAGACAATTCTGTAAAATTACTCTTAACCCTAAAAATTTGCTTAAAATGTAAACTTCCTTCGCTTTGAAAAAATTAATGTATCAAAAGCCTTGGTTTAGTGACATGTTAGCCCCACTGGATAACAACCCCAGTACCCTGTCAGTGATGTGCTTAAGTTGACCAACTCACACTTCTAAACCCAGGTGTGGACCAGTATGTGTGTGTCTTTAAACCCAGCCACGAAGCTCAGGTGACTTCTAGTGGTGCACATCCACTCCTAACTGTCCAGTGTCCTCAACCTGCAGAAGGGTGGGCAGGGCAGGGACACCCTTATGTGTTTTTTGAGTTTTTTTCTGTACTGGGGATCGAACTCGGGAACCCTTGTGTTTTAATGAAGGAACAGGAGTTGCATTGCCCAACCCTACCCAAAAGGAGATCCTTCTTAACCCAATTTGGCACCCAATGACCAGGATGATTTTCTCCTTTTAGGAAAAAACCACATATATACATATTCATAGATAAATTTTTTGTTTTTACATTTAAATATGAAAATACTATTCTGCTTTGTGTTTCAAATGGAGGAACAAGTGGTAAGAACTTTTTCTTCTTTGAAGGTAGGGATATTCATGAGTTTACTCAGCTTTGTGTTCATGAGAGGGGATGGAGCCCCAAGTAGGGAATTATCATAGCAAGAGACCAAGGAAGGGGATTCCTCCCTGCTTCCCAACCACTCCTTTCTCTAATTTCTACTTACACCTTAGAAAATAGTTTCCCACAGAGAGAGGTCCTTAGCCCAAGTCAGGCCTTTCCCCTTTCAGCTACCTTGAAGAAAAAAATCCCCTCCTTCCCTGGCTCCTTCATGAACATATCTGCTCTGTCCAGATAGCTACACCTACTGGACAAGCACACATAATGAAGGGGCAGTGGTTAGTTCCCCTTCTGGTGTCCCCACTAATGCATTAGAAAAATGTCCGTGATAGGAAAAGAAGGGGTGAGTGGGTCTGAAAGGATTAAGACATTTTTTTGTGTGCTTAAATTCTTTTATTGGTACATTTTAGGTATACAATATGTTTACATTTATCATTGGGTACTTGTGCCTGTACATGATGTATCTTGGTTCTTTTTTTTTTGGTACCGGGGATTGAACTTGGGTCCTTGTGCTCGCGTAGCAGGTGGCGAAAGCACTGAGCTAAATCCTTGGCCCTCTTGGTTCTTATTTTTTCCCCATTCCCCTGCCCTCACTTCACCCCCTCCACCCTTCCCTATTTACAAAGACTTCATTTCCATTTTTTCCTTTTCTCATAATTTTTCCTTTTCCTTCTTTCCTTTCCCCTTCCCCTCCCACTAGGATTAAGAATTTGTCTCCTCTTTTCCTGGCTGAAGAAAGCAAGATTAACTGAGCATGAGGAATGAGAGACCTTGGTATTACAGCCTTTGAGTTATGATGGGGACAAATAGGATGACTGGGAGACTGGAAAGAGCTGGAGAAAAGTGAAGAACTAGGAGGGGCTTGATGGTTGGAAGCCTAGTCCACTTAGTTGTTGTACTGGAAGCACTCATCGCCAGTCTCATTGAGAAGACATGTGCAGGTGAGGGCTTTTTTCACAGCAAAGGGGTCACACAATTGGCAAAAGGGCGAGGGTCTTCAAAATAACCCTTCTTCTGGCCAACATTCTGGGGAATGGAGATGCTGGTGCTACAGTTGAGTACATCAGCAGAAAAATTATTGATACTAGAGGTTTTATGGAATCCAGTTAGGCTCCGGGCATTGTCCAGGCCCCCCTCCGGATCATAGTTGCAAATGTGGTACTGGTGCCACTTGCTTAGTTTCTCCGTGGCCTCGTCAGTGTACTTCAGACTGTTCTCCTGTGTGACCTTTGTGGTGTAGTTGGTATAGCACCATTCTAGTTCCCAGGAATTGTGCTTAGGATGAAAGGTTGCTGTCACTCCAGAGACTTCACATACATGATGCAAGATGAATTGGGCTATCCACAGATGGTCTTCCATAGAGATTCCTTCACAGGGTCCTATTTGGAATTCCTGCTGGGGAGGCATGACTTTAGCATTTGTTGCTGTACAGCTCTGGCAGGCCTGATAATGAACCTGTACAATATCCCTGCCATAGGCTTTGTCTGCGCCTATACCACAGTAATATGGACCTTGGGGCCCAGCGAAGCCATTGGAAGACCAACCAGAGGGTTGGCCTTCTGTCCCCATGAGAATATATTCCTGGTCCATTCTGAACCAGGGGTGCTGCTTACATACCATGTTCATTATGGGGTTTTTTGGCGGTACCAGGGATCGAACTCAGGACCTTGTGCTTGCAAGGCAGGCAACAGTGCCACTGAGCTAAATACAATTGTATTTTAAATTGGTCTCTGTACACTTCAGTTATACTTGAAAACTTCACAGAACAACAGTTTATTAGGGTCTTTGCAGATAGGATCCTGAACATGACAACAGGGATAAGGTACATGTTGCTGTTGGAGCCTTTAGACTGGAAAGTGCTAGGCTTGCAGTGGTGGCGAACCTATGGCATGCATGCCTAGCAGGCTGTTTGTTACCATTGAAAGCTCTAAAAGGTTTGCCATCACTGTGCTGGGTAATCAAAATTGCACTCAGGCAATTCTTCTACATACTTGAGCTAAAAGGGTATGGGTTACACAGCCTAGTTCTTTTTCAGTACTGTCAATCCAGATACACATGGCTTGGACTTTGTCGCCCTGAGGCAGGACGTGTACACCTGCTTGATGCCTTTGTTAAGAGCTAAGGTGCCCTTGGTGGAAGATATTGGGGTGGTGAGCATGTCACAGCAGCCATGAGAGCAAGGCAAGAAGAGCAGAGAGAGACTGATGACTGATGTCCTGCTCAGATGTCTTACTCTTCTTCCATTCTCAACTTTCTGTCCTTGCCACTTTGGGAAACAATTCTGGAAGTCCTCTTTCTTAAGTATCTTTACAAAGTGTGATAAAAAATATGGTGAGTGCTGCTATTGAGTACCATTAACAGAAAGGCAGGCTCATAAAAACATGGTGTGTCCTTATCCTCCTCATTCACTAAGTCTGGCACTGGCCCAGTGTAACTTCTGGGTCTTACCCAACATCAAAATGACCACAAAAGATAAAAGTTTTGAATTGATTCAGGACATCTAGACAGTGATGTCAACGCAAATAGACACAAAAGAGTACTTCAGAACTGCTTTAGAAAGCGACAAGAATTATGGGATAAGTGTTCAAAACAAGGTTCAAAACATTTTGAGGTGGATGAATGGCAATGTGTCTTTTACTGTAGTAAATTTTTTTAAAATAAATTTTTAAACGTTCACTGCATTTTTCAGTCAATACCTTGTAGACATGTACTGAAACAGAACAGTTTTGTTTTGTTTTTTTTGGTACTGGGGATCGAGCTCTGGATCTTGCACCTGCAAGGCAGGTGGTGCTTGTGAGGCAGGCAGCAAAACCACCGAGCTGAATCCCTGGCCCTACACAGCAGTTTGTTTTTGTTTTTTGGTACTGGGGATTGAACTCAGGACCTTGCACTTTCGAGGCAGGCGGTGGCACCACTGGGCTAAATCCCCAGCCCCCACATAGCAGTTTTTGATGAAACCCTAGAGAGTAGGTAAAAAGCATATCATGGGGCCAGGGATTTAGCTCAGTGGTTTTGCTGCCTGCTGTGTAAGCTCAAGGACCCTAGTTTGATCCCCGGTACCAAAAAAAAAAAAAAAAAAAGGCATCTCGTGGCCCTTTCCTCTTGAACACATTGTCCATTATAGCAGCCTTCATTCCTAAGACCAGAACCACGAATGGAAATAACCTTAACATGCATTGATGCCTCTCTATCTCCTCCTGGGCCAGCCTAAGCTTTAACCACAGCCTTCCTGTGCTCTGGAGGCCTTCCCCCACTGGGAACATGAGTCAGTGGTAGGTACAGAGCAGGGGTTAGTGAGGACAGTGGGTGAGGCTAAGTAGGACTCACCTCTTCCTCCTGTTCTGTGTAATAGCTGATATATTTGGACTGCTGCTGTTGAACGTTTGTGCTTTTATGATGCTGTGCCTCTCCTGCCTTGTGCCTGGTATGCTTCCCAGTCCTAGCTCATGGGCATTTTCCTCACCATTTCCTCCCTTGCACACTTCTAGAAGTATTGAATGATTATGTCTTAGCAGTGGTGGGAGGTGATCTGGATATATACCTCTCCTCCTCCAGCAAGGATGGGAACTGATTTAGCAGTACTCATGTTCTCTTAGCAGTGATGTCCATTTGGTGTGTGTGTATTTGTGTGTGTCCGTGTGTCCTCTTTGCAGTGATGGCCATGATCTTAACTGTGTGTATGTCCTCTTAGCAGTATGTCAGTTATCTAGCTGCATGTGTGTCCTTCTAGTAACGATGGCAGTTATTCTAGCTGTGTATGTGTGTCCTCTTGGTTGTGAAGGCAGTGATCTAGACATTGACCTTTCCTTGCTGGCCCTGAGACTTTCACCATTGGGGAGTTCCTTTGGCTCCCTTTGTCTTTGGCTTTAAGAAACCATTATCAGGTTTTAGACTTTCAGTGATATGTATCAGGGAAAATATTTAGAACCCAGTAGAGAGCCTGTAATAGATTAAATGTCTTCCTTGGTCCACTGCAGGATTGTTCCCTCATCAGATGTGCTTTTATGTCTGGGTGCTGAGAATTTGGTTACTGTTGGTTCCCCTGCTGGTCTGCAGAGCACGTCGGCAATCCTGAGAGCCCAGTTTTCAGCTCATGGTTCCCTGAGCAGGGATGCATGAACTTTGGGTATGGTTAGGTATATGACACTGTGCTTTTGTCTCTGGCATGATTAACCAGTTGTCTTGGGAGTTTAGTGAAAGCCAGTCACAGCTCATCCTGCCACCTCCACCAGGGCTTTGTGGACATGGAGTCAGTGTGGACATGGTGGGCCTTGGCAGGGCAAGTGCAGGCTGGAGGAGAATGGATTGGGGTTCTGTGGTTGGAGTGCAGTGGCCTGTGGGGCCAGATGTCCTGGAGTTAGTGAGGACTGTCTTTGGAGGTAGGAAAGCCCATGTGCGGTTATACATCATGAGCTGTCCGTAAAAGGTTATATGAGGCTTCTGATCCAGGTAACCTGCAGACAGCTTGGACAGTTTCAGAGCAGCAACCTCGTAGTCTTGCTTCTTGAGGTGAAATCTTTTCTGTGGCTTCCTCGGTGATTTCTCTGTTTCTCAGTTTCCTCACCTGGAACATGGCATCATAATAGGGTTTTGTGGAAATGTTGGGATTAAAATTGGTAAGTGTAAATTTCTAAAAATGCTATATAACTCAAGGGTTTTTTGTTTTGTTTTGTTTGCTTAGATTGGCTCCTCCTATATAGTCCAGGCTGACTTTGAACTTGCCATGTAGCCCAGGCTGGCCTTGAATTCTCCATCTTCCTGTCTCAGCCTCCATAGTGCCATGCAAACTAACTCTTCTGTGTGAAAGGACTTCAGGAAAGGCCTGAATCTGTACAGAGGGTCATGAGTGTTATCTCCCAGAACAGGGCTTTCTCCCAAAGACAGCAGAGCTTGGTGGTTTTAAGTTGGATCTTGGTATCAGAGGAGCATGTGTGGCTTAACAGAGAGGCCCCAAAACAGCCGCCATGTTTTGCACAGGGCCAGGATTGTTAACACTGAGATGTTTTGCTCCTTGTCACATTCCTGCTGTGTCCCTTGGGCCTGGTGAGGCACAGAGTGAGCACTCAGAAATCAGTTATTGAAGAAATGCACAAATGGCTACTTATATTTTGAAATAAAGAGTAACAGCTTTTTTTGCCAGCCGGCCTTGCAGCTGCCCTGGTGGGGGTGGGGAGGAGGATGAGGACCTTGTGCTGATGCTGCAGGACTGCCTTTGGAGGACAGGGGGAGAGGGACTGAGAATACAGAGGAGGGGTGGAGCAAAGCCAGCTGGCCTGGGCCTCATGCTGAGGGAAGTTTATTTCTCAGATGTTAGCTGGGTTGAGAGGTGAGAAAGGGAGAAAAAGGGAAGTACAAATAGGGAACAGGGAAAGGAAGCACAAGCCCCTGTGATGCCGTGTTGGAACTAAAAGAAACTGTGAACTTTGGCAGACTGAGAGGTGTGCATGTGTACAGCTCATCCTGCCACTCCTGGCTGGGCTGTGTGTCCTGTCAGTGCTGACATGGTGGGGCTTGGCAGGGAAATCCACGAAGGGATCTCCCAGCAACAACCAAGCTGGATCCTCCCTGAATAGTTCACTGGCTACTCATCCTGGGGTGGGGAGGGCTTCCAGAGAGAGGGCCCCTGAGAAGCCAGTGGGAGGATGTGACTGCTCCTCTAGGCTTGGGCAAAGGGTATCTAGGATGTTGTTGCTGGTAGATCACTTCCACCCAACCAGGAAGGGTGTTTGTGTGTTCATGTACACACAACACCTCTGTGTCGATCTGTACCTATGGGAGCTCATGTTGTTTCTTTTAGTTTCAACATAGCATCATATAGTTTTGCTTGCTTTCCCTGTTCCATAGTTGTATCTCCCTTTTTCTGTCTGAACCCTGGCTCCCAGTAACATCAGTGGATTGACTCATTTGCCTAATCCTACAGCACACTCATTTCCAAAGTGCT